TGACCTGTGTTCAAGAGGACAGAGACACAAACAGTTTGAGTAGAATGTGATCAGTGTTAGGACACAGGGAGATGCAAGGTGCTTTGGGCACACCTGTGAGCTCACATTACTCCAAGTTGAGAAGGTTAGTGATACGTTCCATGGGAAGGTTTATTAAAACCGGCTTCTAAAGGATTAGTAGGAGTTAACAAAGGAAAGGAGGAGGTGTGGGCAGGGTGTGTGCTGTGAGAATTGAAGTTGGAAGGGTAGTCACCAGATAGATCAGTCCAGACCTTCTGAACTGTGCTGTTCAGAGCAATGAATAGTCATCAGAGGACTTTTTCAAAGGTAGTGCTGTGGGGCGCCTGGGTGGCTCAGTCGGTTGTGTCTGACTTCGGCTTAGGTCATGCTCTCACAGTTTGTGGGTTCGAGCCCTGCATTGGGCTCTGTGCTGAACATTTGCTCAGAGCCTGGGGCCTGCTTCGTATTCTATGTCGCCTTCTCTCTGCCCTTCCTCCACTCATGCTCTCTGTCTCTCAAAAATAAATGTAAAAAAATTTTTAAAAAGTAATGCTGTAATCAACAGACGAATGGATCAAGAAGATGTGGTTTATCTATACCATGGAATACTACATGGCAATGAGAAACAATGAAATCTGGCCATGTGTAGCAACATGGATGGACCTTGAGGGTGTTATGCTGAGCGAAATAAGTCAGGCAGAGAAGGACAAATACCATATGTTTGCACGTATAGGAGGATTAGGAGGAACTTGACGGAGGACCAAGGGGGAGAAGAAGGGCGGAAATGGTGGGGGAAAGGGAGAGAGGCAAACCATGAGAGACTCTTGAATGCTGACAAAAACTGAGGACTGATGGATGTGGGGGGGAGGGGGGGATGGGCATGAAGGAGGGCACTTTGGGGATGAGCACTGAGTGTTATGTAGAAACTAATTTGACAATAAACTATTTGTAAAAAAAAAAAATTAAATTTAAATTAAAAAAAAAAAGTAATGCTGTGATCGTATTTTGTGTTTAGCAGGTTCCTTGCAGTTGTAAGGAATGGAGTAGGCAAAATAGTGATAGAAGTTGGGATACTGATGAGGTTTTTCCCAGCAATTCAGACAATTGTTTTGATCTCTGAAGCCAGTTAGGGGTCACATTGATCCTCTCTCAGCCCACTTTAAAACTTCTTGTTCCATATAGTTAGTTGAGGTATAGGATATAGAAGGCAAGAGCTTTTCAAACTTCAGCACTAATATGGAAGGAACTTAACTTCAAATAGCTTTTGCTCTTTACTGAAGATTGATAGTCACCTCTGGACCCATCCTACCTCAAATACTGCTTTATTAGCATCCCATTTTGTAAGAGTAGAGCCACAGAGATTTGATTTCAGGAAAATCTGTTGTTGAGGTATAATTGACATACAACAAACTACAGATATTAAAGTGTACAATTTGATAAGTTTTGACATAAGTATATATCTGTGAAATCATCACCACAATCAAGGTAATGAACACATCCATCACTCTTACTGCCCCTTCGTAGACCCTCGCTCCTATTGTTCTTCTCTTCCCTTCCCCCCAGGCAGCCACTGACCCACTTTTTTTCACTGTGCATTCGTGGTGAAAGTTTGCATATTTTATAATTTTATGCCAATACTGTACTTTTTTGATTACTTCGGTTTTTAATAATTCTTGAAATCAGGGAGTACTAGCCCTCCATCTTATTCTTTTTCAAAGTGATTTTGGCCAGTCTAGATTCTTTGCATTTCCAGATGAAATTTAGTGTCATTTTGTCAGTTTCTTTAAAAAATCTGCTGTGGTTTTGACTGGTATTGCATTGAATCTACACATCAATTTGGAGAGAATCAACATCTTTCTGGTATTGAGTCTTCTACCCACAGACCTGGTATCTCTCTCCATTTCTTTAGGTCCTCTATAATTTCAACAATTTTAGTAGTTTTTGGTGTGTAAGTATTTCACATTTTTGTTAGTTTATCACAAGTGTTTCATCTTTGGATGCTACTATAAATAATACTGATTTTAATTTTGCAATTAGTCATTAATAGTATATAAAAATGCAGTTGATTTTGTATATTGGTTGTTTTGTCCTGCAGCACTCCTAAAGTTACTTACTAGTTTTAGTAGCCTCTTGAGAGATTTCATAGAATTTTCTACATAGTCAATCATGTCACCTACAGACAAAGACAGTATTACTTCTTTTTTCTAAAATGGATGCTTCTCATTTTTTGGAAGAATTGGTATTACTCTTTTTCCTTAAATGTTTGGTAGAATTTACCAGTGTAGCCCTCTAATGCCTGGGAGTTACTTTGTGGGAAGGTAATCAGTAAAGTCTGATATTAGCACTTTGTTTTCACTGTTTATTTTTCTGATCACTCTGGCTAGAGATTTATCAATTGTATTGATCTCAGAGAATTAGCTTTTGATTTCTCTTCTTTTTCTGTTTTCCATTTCATTGGTTCCTGCTCTTTTTTCTTCCCTCTGGCTTACTTTGAATTTAATTTGCTTTTTTAAAAATAAACTTCATTTTTTTGGAGCATTTTTAGGTTCACAGCAAAATTGAGCAAAAGATACAGAGATTTCCATATACCTTTTGTTTTCACCTTAGGTTTTTTTTTTCTTGTTAAAGTTTTTATTTAAATTCCAGTTAACGTCCAGTATAATATTAGTTTCAGGTGTAGAATTTAGTGATTCACCACTTCCATACAGCACCTGGTACTCAGCACAATGTGCCCTTCTTAATCCCCATCAGCTCTTTCCCCCATCCCCTACCTACCTCCCCGCTGGTAACCATCAGTTTGTTCTCTGTGATTAAGTGAAGGGTCTGTTTCTTGGTTTGCCCCTCTCTCTCTTTTCTACCTATGTTCATTCATTTTGTTTTTTAAATTCCACATATAAGTGAAATCATCTGGTATTTGTCTTTCTCTGACTTATTTCACTTAGCATAATACTCTGTCATTTCTTAAGGTGAAAGTACAAAACTCATCATTTTAAGGCCTTCCTGCTTTTCCAGTACAGGTCTCTCATTACTATAAATTCCTCTATAAGTACAGCTTTTGCTAAGGCTCCGCAGAAGAGGATCCTTTCTTTCCTGTCAGTCATACAGAGCCTTTCTGGTGATGTCGTTTTTTGTCTGCTAAAATAAGAACTGTAAAGGCAGTGTCTGTAGCCATAAAGGAGAAAGTTTAAACTCACAACTCCATTTCATATGCTTTTTCCAGGCTCATACCGAGTGAGGAGGGAAGATGTCACTTATTTTGATTTGGGAAAGTATCTTTGACAAAGCCCTCTTACTCATTACTTACTACAAGTAATACTTAGCTTTTCTCACTGTAAAGACCTATCCAGTTAACACTCTGTTTAATAATGGAGGGGATATATTGTTATCTAAGGGAAACTAGTTTTGGGAATTGTTTAAGCAGTATCTCTTTTGCCAAAGGCTCCCATTTGTGCAGTTGTGGATAAATGCTAAGGTGGAATGCCAAATGGCCCGGACTATTTAAATTTCAGCCGTTCTGCAGAACCTGCCTTAACTCAGTTTTGGAATAGTCTTTTAGTGCCAGTATAAACCAACATCCGGGATCCACAGATATAAAAGTTAACCTCATTAAACATTTGACCACGGGTCAGGACCTACGTTAAATATTTTGCATGGATTATCTTAATGATGCAGTAAAACCTTATGAAGATGAAGCGTTTTTATTCCCATTTGACAGATAAGGAAACAGATTTGGAAAGTAACCAGTCTAAGTCCTACAATTAAGTAGTAGAGTTGGAGCTCCAGCCGGGCCTCCCAGGGCAGTAAGCAAGTTGTACACCTTTCTCCTGCACCTCTGTTTGAAGAAGTGGCTTGTAGTGGCCATGAAATGATAGGGTTCTGAGCTACTTGATTCAGAATAGGACTTGATGAGTTAACCAAACCAAGATAACTGAATACTATAGTAGTTGAGAAAATAAACTTCTTCAGGCATTTTGCTACTCTCAAATCTGAACTTTCCTTAAGAAAGAAGGGGCAAATACTGCATCGGGGGCAATGTGGTGGTATAGAAAGAGAAGTTTAGATCTCACTCATTACTAAGCTGCATTAAACAGTTGGTTAACCTCTTTTCACTTCAGACTTTTCATTTATGAAGTGGAGATTTTCTCCTTTTAGGATGGTGTAAAGATTAGAGATTATGTGTAGCCTAGTGTCAAACCTGTATCCGCTGGTCAGTAAAGAGGCTGGTTGTTATTTGTTACTATTAGAATCTGTTAATTCTCAATGAATGAACACTTTTTTTGAGGCCTTAGTAATAATAAGTTCATTTTCTGACCCAGCCCACTCCCCATCTGTCAGCAAGATTCAATCCTGTTCTTCTAGTGTTTGTATAGCACTGAGTTCCTTTCCTTTGTAGCACTTCTGTTTTGACATGTTTAGTCCTATAATTATCCAGTTAAAGTCTGCCTCCCCACAGTGGATAGTAAGCTCCATGCAGTCAGAAGCTACATTGGATTTTTTTCGCCTTAGTCTTCTCCGTGCACAGTGCTTGCCAGATAGCAGGGCGTCAGCAAATGTTAAATGAAGGAAATGATTCTTAGTAGCAGAACTACCTACCTTGTGATAATGTCTGCTCCCATCAAAGTAGTGATGCTTTCCTTGAAGTAAAGGTGATCTGGGTGAAATCTCAGTATTTGAACTTACCAGTCTTTTTGTGGCCACATCTTAACATTATGCTGATTGAACCCCTTAGAAATAGAGCACAGTAACATTTCATTACATTTCATATTATTGTCTGTTGTTTCTGGTTTGACTGATCATAACTGAATTACTACCATACTACATGTGTGCTGTTGCACAGAATTTAATTTCGACTTCTTGGTTACTTATTTCACTTTGCAGGAAATGTGATTGTTTCATGAAACTCAAGCTTTTAAGAAAGTAAAAAATACTGGGTTATCTCATGTCCCATCTTCCATCTACCATCCATCTAAATATCATTTTCATTTGGCTTCTCTTCTAAGGGAGAAGATGTCAACCGGACACTAGAAGGTGGAAGGAAGCCTCTTCATTATGCAGCAGACTGTGGGCAGCTTGAAATCCTGGAATTTCTGCTGCTGAAAGGAGCAGATATTAATGTATGTAAAGAACGTTGTCATTCTAGAAAAAAATCCTGTTGTATGCCTTGGGTAATTGTTTTCTGTCATCTTGTAAAACAGAAATATAGTCTGAAATTATACCAAATTTCCTGTAACTTAGAAATATATAGTTGGCATTTTTTTTTATAAGCAGAACAAACAGACTTTCTTAAATTGATAAAAATGAAGCATCCTAACTCACAGTTTTAAGTTCTCCAGCAACTTGAGAGTTAACACTGTCACTATCTATAGGTAGCAAATGGCTATCATGCTATGGAGGATAGGACTCTGCAGTCATAGAATAAATCCAAACTGGAGTTTTGGACAAAGGTTCGTAGGCAAATAGACAAGAGCAGTCATCTCCTGGCTCTTGCCTTTTACAGCTTTGAGGGTTTTGGAAAAATGTTTAGCCATGATAGCAAGTGAGGGGAACTTTACACATTTCAGGGAACACTGTGTCACCTGGCCCCAATGTGGCAGTTTTTCCCTCTTTATTGGCTATTTTCTACCCCCTCTCTTCCCTTCCTGGACCTCATTCGCGTTCCTACAATGTTGTGAGGCCTTGGGACTCGGAGAGGCTAGGTAACTAGTCAGCACAGTGTAAGTGGTAGAGCCATGGTTGGAGCTGAGCGCAAAGCCCTGCGCCCTCTACTGCACTATGCTGATACTCCAGGAGACCCTGCTTGTGGGCTTGGACTTTGGCAGCTCTCTAAGTGGCTGGAAACTTGTACCCTGAAGTGATTTTATATAACAAGGCAAGAGGTAAACATTGATAGTTCTCTAATTAAATCTGGAAGAAAGGAAGAAATGAAAAATAAAGTGATTTTTTTTTTTATCTCTTATTTCATAGGCTCCGGATAAACATCATATTACGCCTCTACTGTCTGCCGTCTATGAAGGTCATGTTTCCTGTGTGAAATTGCTTCTGTCAAAGGTGAGGTCAATTGCTAATTGTTTTAAAGTTTTTATTTAAAATTCCAGTTAACATACAGTGTTACATTAGTTTCAGGTGTACAACATAGTGATTCAACGCTTCATATATCACCTCGTGCTCCTCATAACCAGTGCACTCCTTGATAGCCCACCTCCCTTCTGAGAACCATCAATTTATTCTCTATAGTTCAAGAGTCTGTTTCTTGGTTTGTATTTTTCTTTCCCCGCTTGGTCATTTGTTTCTTAAATTCCACATATGAGTAAAATCATATGATATTTGTCTTTCTCTGACTCATTTTGCTTAGCATAATACTCTGACTCCATATATGTTGTTGCAAATGGCAAGATTTCATTCTTTTTTATGGCTGAGTAATATTCCATTGTACTTACCACATCTTTCTTATCTATTTGTCAGTCACTGGACACTTGAGCTGTTTCCAGAATTTGGCTATTGTAGATAATGCTACTATAGACATTGGGGTGCACGTATCCCTTTGAATTAGTGTATTTGACTCTTTGGGTAAAAACCTAGTAGTGCAATTGCTGGATCATAGGCTCGTTCCATTTTTAACTTTTTTTAGGAACTTCCATACTGTTTTCCAAAGTGGCCGCACCAGTTTGCATTCCCACCAACAGTACAAAAGGGTTCCCCTTTCTCCACATCTTCACCAATACCTGTTTGTTTCTTGTGTTGTTGATTTTAGCCATTCTGACAGGTATGAGGTGATATCTCATTGGAGTTTTGATTTACATTTCCCTGATAGTCAGTGATGTTGAAGATCTTTTCTTATGTCTTTTGGCCATCTGAATGTCATCTTTGGAAGAATGTTCATGTCTTCTGCCCATTTTTAATCAGATTATTTGTTTTTTGGTTTTTAGGTTTTGGAAGTTCTTTATATATTTTGAATACTAACCCTTTTTCAGATAAGTCATTTGCAAATATCTTCTCCCATTCTGTAGGTTGCCTTTTAGTTTGGTTGATGGTTTCCTTCACTGTGAAAAGCTTTTTATTTTGATGAAGTCCCAGTAATTTATTTTACTTTTGCCTAAGGAGACATACATGGAAAGAAGTTGCTATAGCCGATATCAAAGAATTTACTTACCGTGTTCTCTGTAGGATTTTTATGGTTTCAGGTCTCAAATTTAGGTCTTTCATCCCTTTTGAATTTATTTTTGTGTATGGTATAAGAAAGTGGTCAGTTTCATTCTTTTGCATGTTGCTGTCTAGTTTTCCCAACACAATTTGTGAAGAGACTTTTTCCCATTGGATATCCTCTCCAGCTTTGTCAAAAATTAATTGACCATATAGTTGCAAGTTTATTTCTGGGTTTTCTGTTCTGTTCCATTGATCTGTGCATCTGTTTTTGTGCCAGTACCATACTGTTTTAGTTACTACAGCTTTGTACTATAACTTGAAACCCAGAATTGTGATGCCTCCAGTTGCGGTTCACAAAATGTTAGCAGTTCATAATGGATAAGAAGGTTGGGCTAGAATGAATCAACCTCCTTCATCAAGAGTGTCTTGCTATGAAAAAACAAGTTAGCTGAACTAAGCACTATACTTACTGATGTAGAAAATGTTCTGGACTCCTCTAACAGTTTGCAGACCACACTTTAAGTAGCCCTCGTATGAAATGTGTAAGCTCCATTTTCTGTAGTACATGCTGAGTAAGATGATTATTAGAGGCAGTTTGCTGTAAATAAGAGCCCTCCAAGTCATCTGGTGTTGTGATGTGCTTGAGATCCTGGTAAATTTGGAATTTCCTGGTGTTTCTCTTAGATGGAGTCCAAAATCCAGCTCCCACAAACCAGTCAGTTGCAGAATTTCTAGCCATATTAGATGGAACCTGCATGTTGGAAGACCAGAAATCTTTGTAAAATAAGGCACCAATGTTAACCCTAAGCTTATCATTTCATGGCATAGTCTGGAAAATGCTCTTTACAGCATTTCATTTGGGATTTTAAAATAAGTCCTATTGAAGGAAGAAAGAAAAATTAAACGAGTAAATTTCTATATAAAGCATTTTGCCACAGTGCGTAACGCATAAATGCTCAATAAATAGTAGCTTTTATTTTAACTAAGACTGAAGAGGATTTTCTGCTTCCTAGACATAGCTTCAGTAAGATCTAGAAAAAATCAGAAAAGAAGGTTAGCATGTTTGTCTCTTAACACTTTGTTGATAATTTTTTTAATTTACCCATAGCAGCATGTTAAACACAATTACTGAGTTTTCTTTAAGTGTGTGGTTGTTACTGGTTTGGGGTTGGGTTTTTGTTTTGGGGGAGGAGATATATATTAATAGTAATTTTTAGATACTACACTTTGTATTAATAGGAATAATGTGGTTCTCCCAAAGCCAAAACAAATGGAAATACTCTTGGTTACTGTAATGGACCTAGAATCCATTGTAGGATGTGGTCCCCAAGATTTCCAGTCACTGTGCCCTGCTTCTCACAGTCCATCCCTCCCCCACACCCATGACAAGATTTTTTTCAGTACTTTCGAAAACTACTGGAAAATTTCATCCAGTAGGATTCTTCAGTAGGAGAATATTTCTGCTTACTGTAGAGTCAAAACTGGTTGTCACAGGCTGCAAGTATTGATTTACAGTTTGTTAAAGATGTATGTAATTCCAATATTTTATTAGTTAGAACTCTTCATATGGGAGGTAACTAACTCCAGCTCAGATAGGCTTCAACAGTAAAGAGATCTTGATGACTCACTTAACTCTCCCGTTGAGGCATATAGCCTGACCCGGGCTTAAGCCACATTACCAGGATCTGATTTCTCTGCCTCACAGCTCTGTTCCTCAGCATGGACTTAATTTAATGCCCTTGGCCTCAACACACCTGCTAAGTGTATAGTAAAAGAAACAGTAATATTACTACCTTGTGTATTTGAAAACATATTGAAAATTGCTAAGAGTAAATCTTAAAAGTTCTCATCACACGAAACTCACTCGTGAAGTAGGGTAGATGTTAACCAGACTTACTGTGATATAATCACTTTGTAATCTATGCATGTATCACGTCATTGTTATGTACCTTAAATACAAATGTTATATGTCACTTATACCCCAAAACTAAACTGACAAGTCAGAATAAAAGATAAAACACAGTTTTGTCCTCCCCCTTTCACTTTCTTTCCCTGATATTTTTCTATCCAGCTAAGGTTTTGTTCTCTGAAAATAAAAATCTCCATGGGATCCTTTTCAACTTAGGCTCTATCTCATGTTTATTAAATGAGATGCTCCTAGGCACGCTCCTCTTCTTAGCCATATCTCAGGCTCTGTATTTCTTTCTGGGAAGTTTCTCTTTCCTTATAGGACAAACAAAAAGTAATTATTGTCATGCCAGAGAAGTCCCGAAACCATTGTTCTGTATTCCTTATTCCCATAGCCTGAAACTCCAGGTCATTGAGACAGGACTGTAAGATTCCATTGTTAAAGAACCTTCTGGCTTTTCTGTGTGTGTACATGAGGCCCTAATACAGTTTCTTAGAAGGGTCTCTGCAATCATGTACTCTTACGCTAAATTATTGGTTGTAAGTTGAGTTGTTTGACTTTTAACTGGCTTGTTTTTTCTTTACTTGTAACTGTATTACTGTTATTTTGCATTTGAGCTTGATTTTGGGAGCTAAGTGACATTCAGAGGCGACTTTGTTGGTGGAAGATCAGTTGTACCCATGCAGAGTTGTTATTTTAGATGAAAGGGGTTTTTTACCTTTATGAAAGCAGCATAGGAAAATTTAGTTCTGCCTTTTCAAAACTACTTTTTTATTATTCCTAAGCTTCTTTAGTGGATACCCTATAGTTTTGTTAGCCAGATATTTTTTTTTTTTTTTTTTTTTTTAAGAAATTGATTGTGCTCTTTCAGAAATCCTTAGCTGCTAAAATAAGGCTATTCCAGTGCTTTTTTTTTTTTGGGTTATGATCAATGTTTGTATTATGAAACTTGGTTCTGCCTTTTGATAACAATACTTATGGATTGTTATGAATTTGTTTTTAAAAGTACTTAGTTTGAGAAATTTACCAAATTGGCATTTTTTAATTTATCATCTAACTGGTATATCATTAGTATAGGAAGAAAACAAAGTTAAAAACTCAGTATGGTCACAACTAATGGGGGGGGGGGGGAAGAAAAATCACTAAAACAAAAGGAGGATTACTAGAATGAAGTCAAATCAAAAAATGATAGCATATCACATAGTTAGGACAAGTTTTTGTTTCTCATTTGGTGCAATGGAAGACGAAGTTTATGAAACAAGTGGGAATTTGAAACATTGAATCCTTGATTGTCCATATAGTAAAAGAAAAAACTTTTACAAGGATTAGCTATGAGAAGTGTAACATGTATATTTCTATACGTAAAAGTTACTTGGCCTGATTTTTTTTTAACTTTTGAGCTAGAAATTTAAAAAAAAAAAAAAAAAAAAAAGGAGAGCTTTTAACACGTGGGACTTCTACTTCAAAATCGAAGCCTGAGCACATGCTGTGGTATGGGGTTCATTAGAGAAGACATCACAACGAATCCTTCAGACACAGAAAGCCAAGGGGACAGCTTCAAAGAAGAAAACATTCCCCGACATGAGCAAGAGAATGTTATCGCAAAAGGTAGGATCTAATCCAAGACGGCTCGCAGCCCTGAAGTTGTTAGTACTTTGAGCAACAAACAAGTGAAGACTGGATACACTTCATAAACCCCGAGAGACAAACTGAGATGCAAGAAGGATCATAATCAAGAAATTAGTATGTGAAAAAATCTAAATGAGTATTAAAGTACAAAACAGGTACTAAAGTTAAAAAGAAATAAGCTAGGAAAACAAAATAAGCTAGGGGCGCCTGGGTGGCTCAGTCCATTAAGCATCCGAGTCCGGCTCAGGTCATGATCTCATGGTTCATAGGTTCGAGCCCTGTGTCAGGCCCTGTGCTGACAGCTCAGCCTGGAACCTGCTTTAGATTCTGTGTCTCTGTCTCTCTTTGCCCTTCCCCTGCTCACACT